ATGGTGTGCCTCACGTTGGGCGCGGCTCAGCTTAAGGAAAGGGGTTTGGCCTACGTTGGGCGTTCTTATTAGCCGGCTGGGCAAACAAATATATAAAATGCGGACGCTGATTAATTGTAAACATGTCGTCCGGTTGTTTACAATAATCTGCATGGCGGTGTTGTATTTGATATAATTGGCAGTATGAATAGTTTACCTAGTTGGTTGCGTTTTATATTATCGGCCACGCAGATAGCGTTTTGGCGTATGAGCGGAGTATCGGGGGTGGAACCGGGCATACAGCGGCGCTCAATTAATTGTAGAGTGGCAGCGCCCGACGATCCACTGAGATGAGAGGGGTAACGCAATTGAGCGATTATGATTGGGCAACCGATTCGCTCGTAGCGAGATTAGAAGGAGACTGATTCGGGTACTCTTGTTAATGCCCTTTGCCTACAACTACAACAGCAGATGGGCAGCAATGGTGCCCGCCTCATTTGGTCAGCTGTTAGTGGCAGGCGTGGTGTGCGCGAGCGCACCTTTGAAAAATAACTTTTCGAGAATATATAAAGTATCTTTGTTATTCCGAGAGAAATAGAACTGGAATTTTGTTTTATTATTTGTGCCGAAGAAAACTTATAAAATTAAATCGGGCAGCGCCAAAAATGTAATTTTTTTTAAATTGTCAGGCCGTACAAAATCGTCGGCCCTGAATAAAAAGAAAAACTTTATGTCGTGCGCCAAAAAACTATATTCGTTCATTTAATACTCAGCCCAGCCCCAAAAGATCCGTGGCTGGACGAAGATAACCAAATAAAAATAGTTGTATTGGATGCACGTTCGGCATTCTAGGGTCGACAGCTGGATGCAACTGCGGCACGCTCTCTTAGACAGGTTCCGGGGCTATCAGACGGAGCATGATGTAATGCAGGAGTTACTACAACGAGAGCAACAGACCAGCGAAAGGGTGGATGCCTACATCCACCACATACGTCAGCTCGACCGCGAACTGGGGAAAATTATCAAGCGTGGATTGAAGGAGAGCCGGCAAAATACATCTGTTCAGCAGCTAAAAATTAATTTAGAATTATGTTTGCATTACATTTCAGTTACATCTTGCCCTGAGAGGCAAGAAATGTAACTATTTTGTTTGTTTGGCGCTTCTCGCATATCATAAAATAGATCAATATTATTAGCTGTTAACTATCTAGCGCTTCTTGTTTTACGCTAATCGTCATTTTGCACTTTGCAGTTTGCACTTTTGTCTTAAGCGGCTAGCGCACCAATGCTAGCGACGCCGCAATTACTCCCGTCTCGTATGTTCGCTATATCGAATTTCTTATTGATCGCTCCGTTCAAAATTGCACATTTTGCATAACTTTATTAAGTTCGTTATAAGCATATAAATAAAATAAAACTGTTGTATGAATTTATAAGAAAAGGCTGTATTTTTATAATACCATAAACTACTCGCAATTAAGTGCTAATAAAAAAGCTCGTTAGCCCAACATTTAGGTGACCCCGACGTGAACTTTTTACATTGTATTGTTGCATAAAATTATTCAAATTAAAATTGAGCTGGTTGTTATTAGTTTCGGCAGCAATTAAAAACCGCTCTTACAAACAAACATACATATGTACAAGCAAGTGTCGTGCGTTAAATAGCAGTATAGCGGAGTCTGTGTACCTAAGCATATATACACATACAAACAGACGCGTTGGCTCTCATTTTCTGCATTCTGCTTGTGCTTTTATTCGACTAACACAAACTTTCGTGTGCAGTTTTTATTCGGTTTTTTTTTCGTTTTTTCGGTTGCCATGGAAAGTTCTAGTGCTGAATCGCTGGCCCAGTTAACAAACCTGTTGTCATTTTTAAAGCGCAAGGTGGCGTCCTCGTATGAGCGGTTGCAGGCGCTACACAAACGAATTGAAAAAATTGAATCTGCATTTGAAGACGCTCAAAACAAATTGGAAGAAGTAGTTTTGATGAGCTTGCAGTAACTTTGAAGACTTCGGTGCGGTTTGAAATCGTTTAGCGCAATAGAGCCGTCCAGCTTTACATTTGTAAATGAGCCTATTGCTGCTGCGTCAATGACTAGATCCAGAGCGTGGCCGACCTTACCGCCAATCAAATTGCCAACGTTTTCTGGAGGTTATACGGAGTGGGCAGATTTATTTTCAATGTTTACAACTGTAATCGAAAATCATTCCGAACTCACAAACATTGAAAAAATGCAGCATTTGCGGCTTTGCTTGAAGGACTCTGCGCTGGATACCATTCCATAGAATTAAATTTATTACAAAAGCGATTTGATAACCGTCAACTAGTATTTCAGGCACACATCGTTGAACTGCTGGGGCTCAAGAAGGTAGAGAATGGCTCTGCTGGCATGCTGCGTGAATTGTCGGATAAGTTTAATGCCCATATTCGTCCTCTCCCCAGTTTGGGTAGCAAGGAGCAACCATAAATTTCTCGCGATTAAGTGCTAATAAAAAAGCTTGTGAGCCCAACAACATCTATGCTATGGATGTACTTACAGTGGATGAGCTGTGCAAAGAGTGCATAGAAGTGGAGAGGCACATTGGTCGCAGAAGCCGGACCGGGTATGTGCAGCAGTCGCGTTATTCGCAAGGACCAAAACCGACAGTTCACGAGGTTGAAGTACCACCACATCGTGCGGAAACGCCGCCTGGAGAACTGGAGAAGGCCTTCGTGCGGGACAGGACATAATCCCTGCTATCATCCCGGCTAGTGTGCTGGTACTGCAGGCAGTTCGACCATGTCTTTAGAGACTGCCTGTCCAGAGAGCGGAAAATATTCTGCTATAGATGCGGAAAGCCGGACACATTCTGCTCACAGTGCGAAAATTGTCCGGGAAACCCCAGTGGGAGCGCTATGATGGCGGGACAGACGCGTTAGGGAACGGCGACCGCAAAAAACAGGCGAGGAACACCTACCAAAGCCAATAGTAGTTGAAAAGGATATGAATAGGGGAAGCATATTAAGGGGCTTACCATATGAAGAACGTGTTCGGGCATACATGTCAAATAGAAATAGAATTTTTGGTATGCGACAGCTGGATGGGATGACGCTGGCCACCCGAAGAGTGGTGAAGGCTCATGCGCGCTTCCGCAGAGGCAGGATTACGAGGCGCCAGGTCATTGAAGCTGTGAGTCGGGAGGATATCATAGACCCGCGCGTATTCGCCGAAGTGGAGGTCGCTGGTATCAAAATGAGAGGGTTGTTAGACACAGGAGCCTCCGTCAGCCTGCTGGAAAAAGGAAGTAGAGAGTTGGTCGAGGAATTAGGGGTTACGGTGCAACCTTACGTTTCAGTATTCACAACCGCTGGAGGAGAGGATAAATCAATTATAGGTAGGGTAGAACTCCCAATCTCGTACAGGGAACAGCATAAAAAAAGAACTTGTTTTATCTGCCCCTACCTGAAACAGCGAGCCTACTTTGGGATTGATTTCTGGCGAGCATTTAACCTAGCCTCCGACATTTTGGGCCCCTAGAAGCTTATCTCCACGGAACACCTAGGGGGAGAGCTCTTGGCCGTGTCGATGACACACTATGCGGAAGAAGAGGAAAAAGTCGAAACTGAACCGGATTCATGGGAGTTGTCTAGGGAAGAAAGGATAGAGTTGGCGGCGGTAAAGCGGGAGTTTTTGCCTTTTCAAAATAGCGGATTAGGAACAACAGACTTAGAGAAGCACACTATCGATTTAGTGGAAGCCCAACCATTTAAAGATAGACCATACCTGTTATCGCCAGCGATGTAGAAATTAACGGATGATGAAGTGAACAAAATGTTGAGTTTGGTGGTTATAGAAGAGTGTAACAGCCCATGGAGTAACCGCACAACTGTAGTGCGAATACCGGGTAAAACCCGTTTTTGCCTAGATGAACGCAAGATCAACAATTTGACGGTAAAATATGCGTATCCACTACCCTGTATAGAAGGCATCCTATCTAGGATATACCAGGCCTACAACATCTCAAGTGTGGATCTGAAGTTCGCTTATTGTCGCTTATTGTCTAGTCGAACTAGACGACAAGAGCAAGCCCTTTACCACATTTACCGTACCAGGTAGGCCCTTATACCAGTTTCGGGTCATGCCATTTTGTCTATGCAATGCAGCCCAACGTCTAGTTTGTCTGATGGACAAGGTGATTCCCAACGAGCTAAGGTCCAACGTCTTTGTGTATTTGGACAATGTACTAGGTATTTTCTATGATTTTCAGACGCACTTGAGATATCTGCGACAAGTGGGTAAATGCTTAAGGGAAGCGAACCTCTCAATCGGGCTGCACAAATCCAAATTTTGCTTCAAGGCATTAAAATACCTAGGACTCATTATTAGCGGTGGCACGCTTCGCATGGACCCCGAACGGGTTTTAGCTATTAAACGGAAGTTCGCTCTTTTTTGGGTACGGCAGGTTGGTACCGGCGCTTTATGCGAGATTTCGCGACCATGGCCGCACCACTGACCGAAATGTTAAAAATAATATAGCGGAAAGTTTATATTGAGTGACGAGGCAACAGAAGCCGTTGACCAGTTGAAGACCGCCTTGACCACGGCCCATTCATTGTATAGTGCGATGCGTCTCGGGTTGGCGTGGGAGCGGTGTTATTGTCAAGAACGACCTTCTTTTCGGCCAAGTTGAACAAACACCAACGGGACTATTCCGTCACTGAAATGAGTGCTTAGGGGATGCCTTTACTTGCATCACTGACCATGCCAGCTTAAACTGGCTGATGTCTATTAAGGACCTAAGCGGGAGACTAGCTCGTTAGTCATTGCAGTTGCAAGACTATGACTTTACCATTGTGGCAGTGGCAGTGAAAATGTGGTAGCCGACTTTATCGCGCAGTGGGCAAGTTTCCAGAAGGTCTTCTCGAATTTGAGACCCCCAAGTTCGAGTCAGCGGAATACCAAGCGTTGCTCGAACAGTTACGTTCGAATCAGGACAAACTGCAAGACCTGAAGGTTGAGGGTGGTTTGCTTATTTAGCGCATGGATCTCATCCACTTAGAAGGTGAGTTAGAAGGCACCGAGTGTAAGTTGTGGGTGCAAAGCTCTTTGACAGCTGGCTTAATTGAGACGGCTCATATAGATGAGACGGCTGGTCATGGGGGTGTCGTCAAAACACTGGAGACCTTGCGTCGGCAGTTTACCGGCATGACTAGTCAAGTAAGGGATTGGTTTAGGCAGTGCGTGACATGCAAGGAAACCAAGGCACCGAACTTCCGCATGCAAGTGGGTCTAGGACAAGAGGTATTGACCGAGCGACCATTCCAAAAACTGTATATCGACTTTCTGGGGAAGTACCCACGTTCGAAGCAAGGGCACGCTTGGATCTTTGTTGTAGTCAACCATTTTTCAAAATTTACTTTCTTAAAAGCGATGCGAGAGACTACGGCTGTTAGCGTGGTGAACTTTTTATTAAGCGAGGTTTTCTATATGTTTGGAGTATACGATGTCATTCACTCTGACAACGGACGACAGCTCATATCAGGTACGTTCCAAAGCATGATCTCAGCTTTCGGCACCTCGCATATGCGCACTGCAGTCTGCAGTCGTACCTTAATGTCGGCGATCCAGGCGTATCTAGAGCAAGATCACCGCGAGTGGGACCTTTACCTTCCAGAAATAGAAGTATCCATACGCAATGCCATACACACAGCGACAGGGGTGACCCCATCATGAGATTTCTCATTTGCACCCAGCAGACAAACTACACCTGATTATACAGCTATTCCAAAGCCAGCTATACCAGGCTTACGAAAGAAGTCATCGGCAGTATAACCCTCGGGACCGAGTGTTCCAGGCGGAACCCGGCCAAGAAGTCTACCGACGCAATTTTGTACTGAGCGATTTTGGGAAAGCTTTTAACGTCAAATTTACAAGGAAGTTCCTAAAGGCCCGAGTAGTGCGACAACTCGTACTTGCTGGAAGATTTGCAAGGAAAGTCCCTAGGCGTGTTTCATGCCAAAGATATACGAGTATAGAACAAGGTCGTGGTGTGCCTCATGTTGGGCGCGGCTCAGCTTAAGGAAAGGGGTTTGGCCTACGTTGAGCGTTCTTATTAGCCGGCTGGGCAAACAAATATAGAAAATGCGCTCGCTGATTAATTGTAAACATGTCGTCCGTTTGTTTACAACAATCTGCATGGTGGTTGCGTTTTTTATTATCGGCCACGCAGATAGCGTTTTGTCGTATGAGTGGAGTATCGGGGGTGGAACCGGGCATACAGTGGCGCCCAATTAATTGTAAATTGGCAACGCCCGGCTTGCGATCCACTGAGATGAGAGGGGTAACGCAATTGAGCGATTATGATTGGGCAACCGATTCGCTCATAGGTTAGGAGGAGAGCGGATCGGGTGCTCTTGTTAATGCCCTTGGCCTACAACTGGGCCGTTGACCCTAAAGTGCAGCTGTGCAGATGGGCAGCAACGGTGCCCGCCTCAATTGCTCAGCGGTTAGTGGCAGGCATGGTGTGCGCGAGCGCACCTTTGAAAAATAACTTTTCGAGAATATATAAAGTATCTTTGTTATTCCGAGAGAAATAGAACTGGCATTTTTTTATTATTTGTGCCGAGTAAAACTTATAAAAATCGTCGGCCCTGAATAAAAAGAAAAACTTTATGTCGTGCGCCAAAAAACTATATTCGTTCATTTAATACTCAGCCCAGCCCCAAAAGATCCGTGGCTGGACGAAGATAACCAAATAAAAATAGTGGTATTGGATGCACGTTCGGCATTCTAGAGTCGACAGCTGGATGCAACTGCGGCACGCTCTCTTAGACAGGTTCCGGGGCTATCAGACGGAGCATGATGTAATGCAGGAGCTACTACAACGAGAGCAACAGACCAGTGAAAGGGTGCATGACTACATCCACCACATACGTCAGCTCGCCGCGCGATTCCAGAAGCCGCTGAGAGACCGCGAACTGGTGAAAAATATAAAGCGTGAATTGAAGGAGAGCCGGCAAAATACACATATGCTATGGATGTACTCACAGTGGATGAGCTGTGCCAAGAGTGCATAGAAGTGGAGAGGCACATTGGTCGCAGTAGCCGGACCGGGTATGTGCAGAAGTCGCGTTATTCGCAAGGACCAAAACCGACAGTTCACGAGGTTGAAGTACCACCACATCGTGCGGAAACGCCGCCTGGAGAACTGAAGGAGGCCTTCGTGCGAGGCAGGACATCATCCCGGCTAGTGTGCTGGTACTGCAGGCAGTTTGACCATGTCTTTAGAGGCCGCCTGTCCAGAGAGCGGAAATATTTTGCTATAGATGCGGAAAGCCGGACACATTCTGCTCACAGTGCGAAACTGTCCGGGAAACCTCAGAGGGAGCGCGATGATGGCGGGACAGACACGTTAGGGAACGGCGACCGCGGAAAAATAGACGCGGAACACCTACCAAAGCCAATAGTAGTTGAAAAGGATATGAATAGGGGAAGCATATTAAGGGGCTTACCATATGAAGAACGTGTTCGGGCATACATGTCAAATAGAAATAGAATTTTTGGTAAGCGACAGCTGGATGGGATGACGCTGGCCACCCGAAGAGTGGTGAAGGCTCATGCGCGCTTCCGCAGAGGCAGGATTACGAGACGCCAGGTCATTGAAGCTGTGAGTCGGGAGGATATCATAGACCCGCGCGTATTCGCCGAAGTGGAGGTCGCTGGTATCAAAATGAGAGGGTTGTTAGACACAGGAGCCTCCGTCAGCCTGCTGGAAAAAGGAAGTAGAGAGTTGGTCGAGGAATTAGGGGTTACGGTGCAACCTTACGTTTCAGTATTCACAACCGCTGGAGGAGAGGATAAATCAATTATAGGTAGGGTAGAACTCCCAATCTCGTACAGGGAACAGCATAAAAAAAGAACTTGTTTTATCTGCCCCTACCTGAAACAGCGAGCTTATTTTGGGATTGATTTCTGGCGAGCATTTAACCTAGCCTCCGACATTTTGGGGCCCTAGAAGCTAATATCCACGGAACACCTTGGCCGTGTCGATGACGCACTATGCGGAAGAAGAGGAAAAAGTCGAAACTGAACCGGATTCATGGGAATTGTCTAGGGAAGAAAGGATAGAGTTGGCGGCGGTAAAGCGGGAGTTTTTGCCTTTTCAAAATAGCGGATTAGGAACAACAGACTTAGAGAAGCACACTATCGATTTAGTGGAAGCCCAACCATTTAAAGATAGATACCATACCTGTTATCGCCAGCGATGTAGAAATTAACGGATGATGAAGTGAACAAAATGTTGAGTTTGGTGGTTATAGAAGAGTGTAACAGCCCATGGAGTAACCGCACAACTGTAGTGCGAATACCGGGTAAAACCCGTTTTTGCCTAGATGAACGCAAGATCAACAATTTGACGGTAAATACGCGTATCCACTATGCTGTATAGATGGCATCCTATCTAGGATAGACCAGACCTACTACATCTCAAGTGTGGATCTAAAGTTCGCTTATTGTCGCTTATTGTCTAGTCGAACTAGACGACAAGAGCAAGCCCTTTACCACATTTACCGTGCCAGGTAGGCCCTTATACCAGTTTCGGGTCATGCCATTTCGTCTATGCAATGCAGCCGTTTAGTTTAGTTTAGTTTAGTTTGTCTGATGGACAAGGTGATTCCCAACGAGCTAAGGGAAACGAACCTGTCAATCGGGCCGCACAAATCCAAATTTTGCTTCAAGGCATTAAAATACATAGTATTCATTACCCCAAACGGGTTTTAGCTATTAAACGGAAGTTCGCTCTTTTTTGGGTACGGCAGGTTGGTACCGGCGCTTTATGCGAGATTTCGCGACCATGGCCGCACCACTGACCGAAATGTTAAAAATAATATAGCGGAAAGTTTATATTGAGTGACGAGGCAACAGAAGCCGTTGACCAGTTGAAGACCGCCTTGACCACGGCCCATTCATTGTATAGTGCGATGCGTCTCGGGTTGGCGTGGGAGCGGTGTTATTGTCAAGAACGACCTTCTTTTCGGCCAAGTTGAACAAACACCAACGGGACTATTCCGTCACTGAAATGAGTGCTTAGGGGATGCCTTTACTTGCATCACTGACCATGCCAGCTTAAACTGGCTGATGTCTATGAAGGACCTAAGCGGGAGACTAGCTCGTTAGTCATTGCAGTTGCAAGACTATGACTTTACCATTGTGGCAGTGGCAGTGAAAATGTGGTAGCCGACTTTATCGCGCAGTGAGCAAGTTTCCAGAAGGTCTTCTCGAATTTGAGACCCCCAAGTTCGAGTCAGCGGAATACCAAGCGTTGCTCGAACAGTTACGTTCGAATCAGGACAAACTGCAAGACCTGAAGGTTGAGGGTGGTTTGCTTATTAAGCGCATGGGGTTCATCCACTTAGAAGGTGAGTTAGACGGCACCGTGTGAAAGTTGTGGGTGCAAAGCTCTTTGACAGCTGGCTTAATTGAGACGGCTCATGTAGATGAGACGGCTGGTCATGGGGGTGTCGTCAAAACACTGGAGACCTTGCGTCGGCAGTTTACCGGCATGACTAGTCAAGTAAAGGATTGGGTTAGGCAGTGCGTGACATGCAAGGAAACCAAGGCACCGCACTTCCGCATGCAAGTGGGTCTAGGACAAGAGGTAGCGACCGAGCGACCATTCCGAAAACTGTATATCGGCTTTCTGGGGAAGTACCCACGTTCGAAGCAAGGGCACGCTTGGATCTTCGTGGTAGTCGACCATTTTTCAAAATTTACTTTCTTAAAAGCGATGCTAGAGGCTTGGGCTGTTAACGTGGTGGACATTTTGGTTAGCGAGTTTCCATAAGTTTCTATAAGTTTGGAGTACCCGAGGTCATTCACTTTGACAACGGACGACAGCTCATATCAGGTACGTTCCAAATATGATCTCAGCTTTCGACATCTCGCATATGCGCACTGCAGTCTACACGCCACAGAGCAATGCAAGCGAGCAAGTGAATCGTACCGTGTTGTCGGCGATCCGGGCGTATCTAGAGCAAGATCACCGCGAATGGGACCTTTACCTTCCAGAAATAGAAGTATCCATACGCAATGCCATACACACAGCGACAGGGGTGACCCCATTCTTTACCGTTTTCGAGCATCATATGTTCCTAAACGGGGCATGCTAAAAATTGGCTCGTAGGTTAAAGTCTTTGGGTGATCATGAGATTTCTCATTTTCACCCAGCAGACAAACTACACCTGATTATACAGCGATTCCAAAGCCAGCTATACCAGGCTTACGAAAGAAGTCATCGGCAGTACAACGCTCGAGCCCGAGTGTTCCAGGCGGAACCCGGCCAAGAAGTCTACCGACGCAATTTTGTACTGAGCGATTTCGGGACAGCTTTTACCGCCAAATTTACAAGAAAGTTCCTAAGTTCCTAGGCGTGTTTGCCTAGGCCAAAGATATACGGCCAAAGATATACGGGTATAGAAGAAGGTCGTGGTGTGCCTCACGTTGGGCGCGACTCAGCTTAAGGAAAGGGGTTTGGCCTACGTTGGGCGTTCTTATTAGCCGGCTGGGCAAACAAATATATAAAATGCGGACGCTGATTAATTGTAAACATGTCGTACGGTTGTTTACAACAATCTGCGTGGTGGTGTTGTATTTGATATAATTGGCAGCATCGCCAGTTTACCTAGTTGGTTGCGTTTTATATTATCGGCCACGCAGAAAGCTTTTTATCGTATGAG